ATGTTGTGCCTTTCGACTAGGCCTGGAATATGTGCAAGATGTAATCTTCCTTTCTGCCTCCTTCGACTGGGCCTGGATTCAGTGAGGAAGCCTGAGGCTTCGTTTCATATTCCTGTCTCCTGTTTATTTCGTTTGAGATATTAAATAGAAACATGGCCTAAGGCCACGCTATCATTACCTCAGGGCCAGGTTAGTTCTTAAAGCATCTGTCAACCAAAGAACCAAACCAAAAGGAGAAGCAATAAAAACAAACTAAAGGGTGGAAACGAAAAGGTAACAAACACTACGTATATATTTGAAACAAAAAGGAAGCTTATTTACATGTTATGCTAGAAATGAAGGGTTCAAGGTTAAGAATGACTTACCTTGCTTGAGGCTGGAACGTGTGCTTGGTCTTTAAGTGGTTTCCTTGGATGCTTCTGGATTCGAAGGGAGGAACCAGGGGTTATGTCTTTGATACTGGATTCGAAAGAGAAGAACAAGTGTGAGGTTCTTCCTACTGGATTCGAAGTGTAACAAGGTATATGGATGTTTCAGATTCTAAGGGGATAAGTGTTTGGATTCTGGGTATGTGTTTGATGAGTATTTAAGTGTTTGAGAGCTTTATGGTGTTTTTGAGATTTTTTTGAAGATTCGTTCGCCTGGCCAAAAGGTCCTCCTTAAACATGTGTTGGAGCCTCTTATTTATAGGCAAAGTTGGCTGAAGCTTTTGGAGGGAAAACAAAATAATTTGAACAATTTGAGTAAACTGCTCTTTGTAGCCTTTGAGGGACAATGCTTTATTGCCATTTTGGTGCAAGGAATTGGGCAGCAATGCAGGACTGCTGTGCAGCAGTTTTGGCCAGTGTACCACGCCTGAACTTGGCAGCAAGCATCTTTGTATATTTCATCCTTTCACTTTGACCCTCTTTCGACCAGATTTTTAGTAACCATCTCCATTTTTCAATCGAAGTGACGTTCGAATGACTTCCCTAAACAATCCTTCGAATGGGCCAAATTAATGCTCTTGGGATGGATCAGTAATATATGTCCTTCGAATGGGGACATCCAAACATGCCTGTCAAAACTCTTCGAATGCACCACCAAGATGCTTTCTTCGCCTGAGGCAATGACATAGTGAAGAGTTTGTATGCTTGGAACAGACCATTTCTAACAGGAAATCCTTCCCACTCAAATTTACCTACAAAGGGGCCATATGGCCAAACGAAATAATGACAAAACACTTGTGCCCAAGAATTCACACCCCCAAGCGAAGGATGTGTGCCAGGGATGGAAGGCTCAATCGAAGCTTGCAACGTTGGAGAAGTCACTCCCCCAAACAAAAAAGGCGTGCAAGGGAAGGATGTGTGATCAAAAGAGGGAAAAAGAGAGGATTTTTCCTCCTGGATCGAAGGACATCATCAAGAGGATTTTTGCCTTGCAGGGGGCACTTGTGGCCAGCAAACATGGTTTTCAAGGCAAACAATGTAGGCAACGAAAGTCACAAACGAAACCTGCAACAAGAAGTCACACGCCCATGCGAAAGAGGCACGCTAGCATCCATTTTGAGCAATCGAAGGAGACCAAGAGTCAATCGAAGGATGCTGATCGAAAGAGGCCTAAAGGCCAATCGAAAGAGCTGAAACGAAGAACACTTGTATTTCTCCAATTTTTGTCAAAATAATATTTTTATCTGTTTTCTCCCCTTTTGACAGTTTCCTTTTGATTTTGGTACTGGAAAATTCCAAAGTACTTGTGCAAACTTGAACCTTGAGAATCCTTGTGAGAAAGGCCTTGATAATTGAGAGGGTAAATTTTGGGGTACAACACCACCGGTCGGGTCTTTAGTATTTCCTATTTCCCCAGTGATGTGTGGTTTTCCCTTGTCCCTGTAAACCCCTGGTTATTTTTACCTGTGTTTGCTTTTCCATTAGAGTGCGAGTAAGAGTCGGTGTATAACCTTTCTTATTTCTCAAGTATTTGAGTATCCATACTTGATGTGTGGTAATTCAGATAATTGTCACTCTTGAAGAATTGCACCCCCCTTTGGCTTGAGGGATATTGTGGTCCTTGTGCATTTGCAACCTTTTAAAGTCCAACGTGTGTTGGCAATCCTTGTTTAGAGTCCCTACAGTTGGTCTCTTTTCTCTTTTCAAGTTGGCCTTCTGCTGACGTTCTATTTGGGTTCAATATTGACATGAATTTCCCCACAGCTAAGTTCGTTTCTGATCATCGTTCTTTCTCCCAGAGTCTATCTTCGATTAGTCTCTTTGTCATTGCAAATTTTCTTGTGTTCAAGCATTTTTGTTAGAGTCTGTTCCGGTCTCTCTCTTTCATAAATGTGTCTAAATCTGACCAGACATGTATATCTTATCCCCAGTAAGTTCGCCTTTGTTTGGTATTCTTTCTCCAGGAGTCTATCTTCGGTTAGTATTCCTCGTTAAATCCGTCTTCGGTCGATATCTTCCTTGTTCGTATGTGCCTAATTTTACCTGGCATGTATTCAATATTTTTACTTGTATATGTCCTTTCCTCTGGACATGTACTGATGATATCTTTGACAGGGTTTTCCTCGGTTAGTCTATGTCGTAGTTCTCTACAAGCTCTAAACATACATTTGCGATATCTTTGGTTATATGTCCTTTCCTCTGGACGTATACTCCTGATATCCTTGGTTAAAGTCCTTTTTCCGGCCTCTTTCTCTATTATATGTCATTTCCTCCGGGCGTATATTCCCGATATCCTTGGTTAGAGTCCTTTCTTCCGACCTCTTTCCTTTTATATGTCCTTTCTTTCGGACATATATAGGTCTCTTTCGTATGTGTCTTTTCCTCCGGACATGTACTCATGATATATTTGATAGGGTTTTCCTCGGTTAGTCTCTGTCGTATGTTCGCTACAAGCTCCGAACATACATTTGTGATATCTTTGGTTATATGTCCTTTCCTTCAGACGTATATTCTGATATTTTGGTTAGAGTCCTTTCTTCCGGTATCTTTCTCTGTTATATATCCTATTCTCTGAACGTATATTCGTGATATCGTTTGTTAGAGTCCTTTCTTATGGTCTCTTTCCCTGTTATATGTCCTTTATTTCGGACATATATCGATGTTTTTCGTATATGTCCTTTCCTTCGGAAATGTATTGAGGATATCTTTGATGGGCCTTTCTTCGGTTAGTCTTTGTCTTATGTTCTCTACCAGCTCTAGGCATGTTTATTTGATATCATTCATATACATCCTTTCCTTCAAACGTGTATATTTGGTATCTTCTATATGTTCCTTTCTTCCGGTCTCTTTCGTATATGTCCTTTCCTCGGGACATGTATTGTTGATGTATTTGATAAGGCTTTCTTCGATTAGTCTTTTCCTTGTGTACGCTACCAACTTCGAACACATGTTTCTTGATATCAAATTTCTCTTTTGTGTGTCTAACTTTGACCTGACAAACGTCTACCCCTGATAACCATTATTCATCAAAAAGAAAAAAAAGGAAATACTGAAAACCAAAAATAAATAATACCCGACTGACTTCAGAATGCAAATTTTACAGTTCTATTAAATATTCAATCCTCTTTCACCTTGATTGTTCGAAAGGCTACTGTCAATCTCATCCATGGTTAAAGAAGATTGAATAGGGGCTGCTGTTGTACCCTGAAATTCTCCCTCTTCATTTTAAACCTAATTGGCATATACTTCATTACCATATGCATACCTATGTTTCATTGGCTTTATTCTCATTGAATCGAGGTATTTCTTTGCAAGAAAGAGTTTCAAAAATTGGTTGTTCCGTTAAGCATCACTGTGAAGTAGAACTCAAGGTTTTCCGTATTTTTATGCGATCCGTGCATGTTCCCAAGCTATCCAATTAACAACCAAGCAAGTCATCATCATGTCAAGCTCTCATTTGTTTCAATATGTTCTGAATTATATAGAAAGTCGGAATATACATTGGATTTACCGTTTCTCTGGTTTTCAGACGCTTAAAAATTCATAACTTATGACTGGAGTATCATCTTTGAGTATTTTTTGGAGCATTTGAATTGTCTTGTTATCGCCTCCAACTTTCATGTTCGGCTCTAAAGCCAATTGTTTTAGGAAGATCTTCGAATTTGCGAGTACTTTGAAGCTAAGCAGTGAAAAAATAGTTAAAATATTATGCGGAACCGTTATTTTATGGACGATTCTTTTGGCATAATTTCACCGTAAAAATTCACAACTTTCCCCTAGATTGATGTTTTTGAACCGTTCTTTGGGCGAAAAATCAGTATTCATTTTGCCTTCGATTTGTATGTTCGGGTCGAGAGTTGATTCTTTGCAGAAAGTCCCCGAAATTATGGATTATCAGAGAAATTTATTATGCTAAACCAGAATTTTAATAAGGAGTACTTAATACATTGACATACCAATATTAGAATATTTATACATAAATATTAGAGTATAATAAAATAGTAAAATACTCTCTAACAAACTTAATCAAGAAGTCATTATAAAAATATATATTATTTCGAACAATAAAGAGCCAGAAAATGGTGAGTGATGGCGACAGACACCTTGATTAAAGAATTTCCCGGTTCATTAATTCATCAAATTAAAACAAAAAAATTTCACATGTTCAAGTTTAGTAAATTGATCATGATCGCCGCATCCAAGTGAACTGGACCCCAAAGTCCATGCTTCAAAACACGTACAACTTCATAGTGTCACACATGCAGCTCAAGATATTCATCATGATAATGATCGCCGCATCCATGTAAATATAAGTGAACTGGAGCCCAAAGTGCATGCGCCAAAACACGTAGGACCCCAATGTGTCACACATGCAGCTCAAAATATTCATCAGCTCAAGACACGAACCCATCCACACCTTTCAAACAGTTACAACTCAATTTTGTTTATTTGAACACTCGTCATGCTACATGGCACAATGTAGCCACGTTATTCACCCAGCTTTATGTTGTATCACTATAAATATCCCTCATCTTACTCTTTTATTTCATCATCTAAAGTGAAATACAAATCATGGCTACCACAAACAAATCACGACTTCCACTTGTGTTGTTGCTTGGAATTATATTCCTGGCCTCCGTTTGTGTCACTTGTGCTAACTACGATGAAGGTTCAGAGCCTAGGGTACCGGGAAAAAGAGAAAGAGGTCGCCAAGAGGGTGAGAAAGAGGAAAAACGCCATGGAGAATGGAGTCCTTCGCGTGAAAAGGAAGCTCAACCTGGACGTGAAAGATGGGAAAGAAAGGAAGATGAGGAACAAGTAGAAGAAGAGTGGAGAGGAAGTCAACGTCACGAAGATCCAGATGAAAGGGCAAGGGAAAGGTATAGAGCGGAGACAACAAGAAAGCGAGTAGAAGAAGAGAGGGAGGAAAGCGACAGACCTTATCAACCTGAACGAGAGGAGGAAAAAGGCTCATCAAAGTCTCAAGAACGAAGAAATCCCTTTCTCTTCAAGTCTAACAAGTTTGTAACACTTTTCGAAAATGAAAACGGCCACATTCGACTCCTTCAAAGGTTCGACAAACGTTCAGATTTATTTGAAAATCTTCAAAACTACCGTCTTGTGGAGTATAGAGCCAAACCTCACACCCTCTTCCTTCCTCAGCACATAGAGGCTGACTTAATCCTTACCGTTCTCAGTGGTAAATTTTATTTTTCTTTATAATATTCTTATACAATATTGCTATTAACATTCTTTTTTTTTTTTTTAAATCCAAAAATATAGTTATTTAAAATAAAAATACTGTAAAATTCAATTTGGCAACCATAGTATTTCTTATATTACATTATTAAATTTTGGTTTGCTTTATATGTATTACACAGGGAAAGCCATATTGACAGTGTTACGTCCAAATGATAGAAATTCCTATAACCTTGAGCGTGGTGATACCATCAAAATTCCCGCAGGAACAACGTCTTATCTAGTTAACCAAGATGATGAACAAGATCTTAGAGTGGTAGATCTTGCAATATCCGTGAACAGGCCTGGTAAAGTTGAGGTAATATAGAAAATACAATTAATTTTTTTTTTCACAAGCTTTATATTTGCTAAAGCACTTCATTTATATTACTTTTATTTTTTTCTATATCAATCAATTGATCTGTTTCCTCCTTCCAACAGTCTTTTAATCTATATGGAAATAAGAACCAATATTTACGAGGATTCAGCAAGAATATTTTAGAGGCCTCGTTTAATGTAAGTATGCAAACAACAAATTTTAAGCTTAATTGTGTAATTTGTTATCAATTGTTTAATAAATATAATCATTGAAATTTGTATCCTTGTTTGCAAATATAGACTAAATATGAGACCATAGAGAAGGTTCTTTTAGAAGAACAAGATAAAGAATCACAACAATCGATAGGCCAGAGAAGGAGATCACAGAGGCAAGAAACAAATGCATTAGTGAGAGTGTCAAGGCAACAAATTGAGGAACTGAAAAGGCTTGCCAAATCAAGCTCAAAGAAAGGTGTATCCTCTGAACTTGAACCATTCAATTTGAGAAGCCAGAACCCAAAATATTCTAACAAGTTTGGCAAGTTGTTTGAGATTACTCCTGAGAAAAAATACCCACAACTTCAAGATTTAGACATATTTATTAGTTCTGTGGAGATTAAAGAGGTATGCATGCAACCCTAAAATTTATGTTCAATTACACAAATATAGTTATATTACATAAATAAGTTAATACATTTTTACTTAAATTTATAGGGAGCTCTAATGTTGCCACACTACAATTCAAGGGCTATAGTTGTACTTTTGGTTAATGAAGGAAAAGGAAACCTTGAACTTGTGGGTATCCAAAATGAGCAACAACAACAAGAAGAAAGAGACAAGCAAGTGCAGAGATATGAAGCTAGATTGTCTCCAGGTGACGTTGTTATCATTCCAGCAGGTCATCCAGTTGCCGTCAGTGCTTCTTCAAATCTGAATTTACTTGCATTTGGTATCAATGCCGAGAATAATCAAAGAAACTTCCTTACAGGTAATAAGTGCATATTAGCATAATTATTAATTGGTTAGTAATGATCAACTAAATGAGAATTATTTGAATTTGATAATTTGAAGGTTCGGACGACAATGTGATAAGCCAAATAGAAAATCCAGTAAAAGAGCTTACATTCCCTGGATCTGCTCAAGAGGTAAATAGACTATTAAAGAACCAAGAACATTCTCACTTTGCAAGTGCTGGACCTGAACAAAAAGAGGAAGAAAGCCAAAGAAAAAGGAGTCCCATATCTTTGATTCTGGACACTTTTTACTGAGTAATCAATGTGAAAAGTAATGCACATGTATGATGTAAGTGCTGGGTAATCAACTATGAAAAATAATGCACATGGATGATATAAAATCTAGCTAGCTCATGGTGAGCAAAGAATAAATAAATGGCGTTGTACCTCTTACTTAGTAAGGTTCACCTTTCTACTATGAATATATAAATAATAAATAAGAATTGTGTTTTTTCTTTTAATCTAAACTAGTAGTGGATAAATCCCCCAAAAAAATTAAATAGAACTTTTGTTGGAGACTTACATCATTTAGAAGGCCGGTAACGAAGAGTGTGATATAAATACACAGCATAAATAAGGCCGGTAACTGACTTATTTATCACTAGGGCTATTAATCGTGGTAATAAAATAACATTTATTTTGTTATTTTTCTAATCAGAATAGATCATAACACAACAGCAATACACTTTTGAATCAAAATCAATTTGACATTATGAACTAGGGATATGTATTATTACATCAAAACGAAAATAAAACCAAAATGAAATACATTTTACACATCACTAGTAAATTACTTGTGCTAATGTACGAGTTCCAGTGTGGATTTGCATTACATATGGGGTTGTGATGGTTAATTGAAATTAGAATGCAGACGAGGTCATGCATCTTAATCGAAAAAATTATGGCGTGAAATGGGGTAATATGTGAAATGGGGTAGTATGTTCTGCATACTGAGTTGCATAGGGGAAGAAAGGTTCCAAAATTCACAAAATTTTGTAAAGATACCAGTGAATTCATTTTCGAACATATAACAAGGTGTCTAACTAAGGCGGGAGGCATTGTTAATAACGAAACCGAACTCCATACTCCCAACGAACTCCATCTATGTTTGGATTCGAAAGATTTGTTCAATGAACAATTTTACATGGGATAATTGAAGATCAGTTTGAATGAATTGGCTAGTATCAAGTGCAAGATTTCCGAGTCAATAGATGATTATCTGAATAGGTTCTGTTTGCTAAAGGCAATGTGTTTCACATAAGTGTATGATCTTGAGTTAGTTAAAATAGTTGCTGGTGGTTTAGACTATTTCATCCGAAAAAAATTAGATACCAAATACTCAAGGGATATGATCTAATTGACAAACAGAGTTTGACAGGTAAAGTTCCTGAATGCTGAAAAGGCCAGGGCAAATAAGAATAAGAGAAGAGAAAGGGTAGCGTGTGTCAATATGAGGATGATCAGGAGATATATAGTAATCCTATAGGTTTCGACAAAAGTGAAATCGACCTAGCCGAATCAAAACAAGGGCCATCTTGTTCTTGCAAAGTTCTTGCACCTTCGAGTGAAAAAAACCCCGTCGAACCAGAAAAGAATGATAAATTCCCTAATAAAATATATACTTTCGACGTTACAAAGTGTGATGAGATTTTTTACTTGTTAGTTAAAGATGGCCAAATGGTAGTGCCACAAGGGCCATCTTGTTCTTGCAAAGTTCTTGCACCTTCGAGTGAAAAAAACCCCGTCGAACCAGAAAAGAATGATAAATTCCCTAATAAAATATATACTTTCGACGTTACAAAGTGTGATGAGATTTTTTACTTGTTAGTTAAAGATGGCCAAATGGTAGTGCCACCTGGTACTAAAATACCATTATTTGAATAACGGAAGAAACGAGGATTTTGAAAATATCATAATTTTTTAGGCCACAAAACTTCACAGTATTTTCTTTTCATGAATCTTATGCATAATGCACTCAACAACGGAAGGTTGAAGTTCAGAGACAAGGGAAGGTCTCATATGAAGATTGACTCATATCCCTTGCAGGTGAAAGATGCCCACTATACTGAGCCTATTGATGTCAACATGGTTGAGCCTACTGAAGGCCTTCATAAGGAAAGCACTATGCTTGAAGCCACTGAAGATTTCAAACATGAAGTCGAAATGGCTGAGGCTATTGAAGGCCTTAGGATCAAATTGTAGAAGGTTTGGATTACTGATAGTCCTAACTTGGAGGTTAACATGGTCGAAATAAGTGAAGATGCTGACATGGAAGCGGCTGAAGAAAGTACCCAGCGAAGTGAGGATCAGATGAGGGTTGCTTATCGAAAAATTGATGAGAACTTGGTCGAGTTCTTTCACTGTTTCCAGAAGAAGAAATCTAAAGTGAAGTTGTGCCCTAGGTGTGGTTCTATTTTTGATAAGAAGGTTGCAGAAAATCTGAAAAGAGTTCGGATAGTCCGTCGACAAATTTTTTTCCTACCTAGTGGGTTCGAAAGTAATTGTTTACACAAACCATGCAATAATTAGATATCTCCTAAGAAAGAAGGATGTTAATCCTACACTCATTAGGTGGATCTTGTTGTTGCAAGAGTTTGACATTGAAATTAGGGATAAGAAAGGGACAAAAAATATGGTTGTCGATCATTTGTCCTGGTTGATTAATTAAAAGCGGAAGAGTTACCCCTTGACGACTCTTGCTCAAATGACAAACATTTTGCGTTGATTGGAATCAAAACATCTTGGTATGTTGACTTTGTCAACTACCTTGCCACTGGAGTCCTATCTTCAGAGGTAGATTATCAACGTAAAAAGAATTTTTTACCCGAACTCAAGCTTTATTATTGGGATGAGCCTCTGCTCATCAATAAAGGCGCTGACAGAATTTTCCGAAGGTGTATCCCTGAGGAAGAGATAGAAAGTGTGATGACCCATTGTCATGCCTCCAACTATGGTGGGCACGCTAGTATCGAAAAAGTTGTATTGAAGACTTTGTAAGTCGTCCTTTATTTGTCGACTCTCTTTAAGGTTGCTAATGATTTTATAAAGAAATGTGACCAATGCCAATGCATAGGAAACATCTCTAGGGTCTAATAAAATCCTTTGAATAACATCCTCGAAGTTGAATTTTTTTATCTTTGGGATATTGAATTTATGGAACCCTTCCCCTCTTCTCCAGGAAATTAATACATTCTTGTAGTCGTTGATTATGTGTCTAAGTGGATTAAGGCCATTGCCTCTCCAACAAATGATGGTCGAACTTTTATAAAGATTTTTAAGAAGATCATCTTCCCAATGTTTAGGGTCCCTAGGTTAGTGATAAGCAACGGAGAGTCACACTTCATTGCTAGGAAATTTGAGAAACTTCTCAAGAAGTATGGGGGGGTGAAGGATAGAGTTTCCACACCCTATCATCCACAAATAAGTGGTCAAGTCGAATTCTATAATAGAGAGATAAAATCTATTATAGAAAAGGCAACCTCCCTTTTTAGGAAAGATTGGTCTTATAAACTCTACGACGCATTTTGGGCATTACCGTACTGTAACGATAAAAAATGTAGTGGGATAAATCAGAGATCGAGCTATTAATTAACTCGAATCACAAAAGTAAGAGTCGCCACCACGCTTTATTATTTTCAAGGGAAAAGGGAAAATAGCGAAATAAAACCCTTAAATATGCAATGTAAAGTAATACTTAAAAGTAACGAAAATACAATGCGTTTTTGAAAGAGGTCTAAAGTTCGGGGGTTGGTTATGCAAAGGGAAGGTACTAGCACTCAATGCATCTGCGGTACTCCACATGAACCTTTTGAAATATCTGTTTTTTGGTTAAAATTGTTTGTTTGATAAAAATGGTTTGTTTGGTTAAAATAGGCGTGAACGAGATTTTTGAAGATACGACGATCTAGTGTCGAAGTTTTGACTTAAATGGTGAGAGTTTTAAAATTGAGTTTTTTTTAGGAAAATTAACTTAAGATTAACAAAATAGTAAATAAAAAATGAATGAAGGTATTCGCACAATCGTATATTTGATGACATGAAGCCAACAAAATTAAAACATTTCCCTTGAAATTGAGATGGACGAAAGATACAAAGATTAATGATCGAGAATAAAGTTAATTAAAATGACAATTGAATAATTAAATAAATTAGTTTATAAGTATGTATTTAAATAAACAAGAATTAAATAAAAGATAATTTATTAGCATGTATTTAAGTAAACAAGAATTAAATAAAAGATAATTTATTAGCATGTATTTAAATAAACAAGAATTAAATAAAAGATAAATTTATAACATATTTTTATATATTATAATGGTATGAAATAATCATATGTAAAATAAATTAAAACTAATATCTTGTTATCAAATATTTAATAGAATTTGGAAAAAGGCTAAAAAGAACGAAAAAAACAGAAAAATGCTCTAGCAGGGGTTAAACTCGGGTCCCTGGGTTATTGGTGGTGTGCTTTGCCAAACTGAACTAAGCTAATTATCTGTTATTACTATGTTTCTATTAAAAAATAAGGGATAAATTGATAGAGTGATTGGGCCAATAGGACCATCGGGCCGACCCGATTTTGGGAAAGAACAGGGAAAGTTTTTGAAACCGTAGTAACAAAGAAAAAAAAGCGCCGCTGCATATATATCATTAGGAAGAGAAACAAAAAAAACATAATAATTATTATTATTGTTAATTCTAACAAAAAAAATAAAAAATAAAAAATTTGAATCCAAAAAGAAATCCTCTCCTCTCTCATCCGTAGCACCATTTTCCTTTTTCCCTCTCTCAATCACAACCAGTACCCTAGCATAAGTACCCACAATGAACTTCGCTTTATCCTCAATCACCTCTTTCTTCTTCTTTCCCGTCTCTGCCCTTGCGTTGGGTGCTCCCATATCGACTCTAAGGGATGCGCTTGGCGGTGTTAGGCATCTAGGGTAAGGAAGATTTGGGGGAAAATGTTGGTTGTTGTTGTTGTTGTTATTGTTGTTGTTGAATTGGGTGAGTTTGAGTTTATTGGTGAATGAGGATTGGAAAGATGAGTTGCTGAAACAAGTGTGTGGAGACATTGTTGGTTTTGTGAAGGTGATGTTTGCTTATTATGCAGAAGGAGAATCAGAGCGAAGTTAGTTGACGATGGAAGTTTGTTGTTGAGCGTTGAAGCGGTTTGCTGATGGGGAGAGCGGTGGAGAAAGAACCGAGATCTACAACGGCATGGAGATGGAGGCTGGTGTTGTTTTAAGAAGATATAG